GAATTCACACTGAATGTCATAATGTGGCTAAATCTATATATGAAGGTGAAAATAATCTGGGGAACTTTTTCAAGGTAAATGAACTTGGTCAGACATAAAGGATATTTTAAAGTCCCAAGGATCCTTAAAACCATCTAGGTCCCTGACCTCACATGCTGCAGAAATAAAACTGAGCCCAGGGATGGGAGAATTGCCCCACATCATGTGGACAAATTCGGTTCTCTAAGCCTCTTTCCATTTCATATAACCAATGAAGCTGTCTAAGAACCGTTTTATTACAATTATTAATGGATATTAAGTGCATTTTCATACATGCATATAGCCGCTTTAAATCTCTTTAAGAGTTTTGTATTTCTATATTTCTCTGGAAGTATCTAGATGAGGTTATTTCTATCTTCTGTTTCAAGAGTTCTGCCATTCTCTCCTTCTGGTTCAGTAGGACAGATTGTGTTCTTTTGATTGTGAATCAGCATAAATCATGCCCTATTGGTTTTTTTTTTTTTTTTTCTTGTTTTACTCCTACCTTGAAGAATAAGAATAAGATAAGATAAAGGGAAACTACTCTAGCTACTAGACTATCCTCTGCTGTTTTTTTGTAAAAATCTCTTTTTCCAAGTCAATACATCTCTGCCTTCCCTCAATAAAACAGTTGGGGCTATAAATAATATGGTTTAGAGGTATTTGCAACACCCACATGACCTGGCATATTGTGCTAAATGCATTTCTGCTGAATTTTTATTTTGGCTGTTCATTAAGCCAAGTCATCATTAACACCTGCACAGTTAAAGAAAAACAAACTCAGAAATAGCAAGAATTATCCCATAATGGTGCTGTACTTATAGCTTAGGTTTTTCTTTTTCTTTCTTATTTTTTCAATTTAAACTTTTGTACATTTTTTCTACCCCTCTGCCCAATCTTCCTTACACACTTTTTACATCTCTCTGAGCAGCCCACTAGGCTCATTCTTATATTATTATTTATATTTTCACAGTTCAGTTTGAATGCCTTTCTGATACTTAATAAAGGTGGTTTCCCCAAAACTGAAGAATGATGTTCTTCCACAAAAGCACTCTTTTTTTTTATTGGTTGTTCAAAACCTTACAAAGCTCTTGACATATCATATTTCATACATTTGATTTAAGTGGGTTATGAACTCCCATTTTTACCCCGTATGCAGATTGCAGAATCACATTGGTTACACATCCACGTTTTTACATATTGCCATACTAGTGACTGTTGTATTCTGCTATCTTTCCTATCCTCTACTATCCCCCCCTCCCCTCCCCTCCCATCTTCTATCTCTACCCCATCTACTGTAATTCATTTCTCTCCCTTGATTGTTTTCCCTTTCCCCTCACATCCTCTTATATGTAATTTTGTATAACAATGAGGGTCACCTTCCATTTCCATGCAATTTCCCTTCTCTCTCCCTTTCCCTCCCACCTCTCGACCCTGTTTAATGTTAATATTTTTCTCATGCTCTTCCTCCCTGCTCTGTTTTTAGTTGCTCTCCTTATATCAAAGAAGACATTTGGCATTTGTTTTTAGGGATTGGCTAGCTTCACTTAGCATAATCTGCTCTAATGCCATCGATTTCCCTGCAAATTCCATGATTTTGTCATTTTTTAGTGCTGAGTAATACTCCATTGTGTATAAATGCCACATTTTTAATCCATTCATCTATTGAAGGGCATCTAAGTTGGTTCCACAGTCTAGCTATTGTGAATTGTGCTGCTATGAACATCGATGTAGCAGTATCCCTATAGTACGCTCTTTTAAGGACTTCAGGGAATAGTCCGAGAAGGGCAATAGCTGGGTCAAATGGTGGTTCCATTCCCAGCTTTCCCAGGAATCTCCATACTGCTTTCCATATTGGCCGCACCAATTTGCAGTCCCACCAGCAATGTACAAGTGTACCCTTTTCCCCACATCCTCGCCAGCATTTGTTGTTGTTTGACTTCATAATGGCTGCCAATCTTACTGGAGTGAGATGGTATCTTAGGGTGGTTTTGATTTGCATTTCTCTGACTGCTAGAGATGGTGAGCATTTTTTCATGTACTTGTTGATTGATTTGTATATCCTCCTCTGAGAAGTGTCTTTTCAGGTCCTTGGCCCATTTGTTGATTGGGTTATTTGTTTTCTTATTGCTTAATTTTTTGAGTTCTTTGTATACTCTGGATATTAGGGCTCTATCTGAAGTGTGAGGAGTAAAGATTTGTTCCCAGGATGTAGGCTCCCTATTTACCTCTCTTATTGTTTCTCTTGCTGAGAAAAAACTTTTTAGTTTGAGGAAGTCCCATTTGTTGATTCTTGTTTTTAACTCTTGTGCTATGGGTGTCCTATTAAGGAATTTGGAGCCCGACCCCACAATATGTAGCTCAAAGCCAACTTTTTTTCTATCAGACACAGAGTCTCTGATTTGATATCAAGCTCCTTGATCCATTTTGAGTTAACTTTTGTGCATGGCGAGAGAGTTTTGTTGCACATGGATTTCCAGTTTTCCCAGCACCATTTGTTGAAGATGCTATCCTTCCTCCATTGCATGCTTTTAGCCCCTACAAAAGCACTCTTGTCACTAAATGTCCCTTGAGATTTGATGCAGAAACCACTTTTAGGACCATAATTGTTACTTACCTAAACACTAATGGTTCAATGATCCATAAGCTTGCTCAGAAAGAGTCAACAGTTAAATATTTTTAAGAAATTCAAAGAACAAAATTAACAGCCTGAAGAGCTGAAAAACATGCTGTGAACCAATGTTTTAGAAATGATTCACTATGAGAAATTAAATTCGTTAAGCTACAAAATTAAAAGGTGGTATTTTCACTTCATAATATAACTCCCAATCAAATGTCATGAGAAGATGCGTGATATACTGGTGCTTGGAATTCATTTTAGGTAATTTTCTGATCATCTATTCATCACCCTTAACACTCACCAAATTTTATTCACTTAGCCATTAGAAATATTTCTCAGGGTTTTGGAAAAAAAAAGGTCTAGGAATGAGTTCTAAGTTTTCAATAGCTGTATCATAAGTAAATGAAGGAAAGACCATTATAAAAACTAGCAGATTCCATGATAGGCTAAGAATGCCTAGTAGTCCATCAATCAGGCAAATTCAATCAGAAGTGGACTTGACCATAAGGAGTTTTCCCCCATTAACTACTAAAACTTTTTTAAATTGAGAAATAATAGAATCATAATGATATTCTTATCAATTCCTGTACTTCACAAGTGGGAAGAGACAGGCTATGAAAGCTAAATGACTTGAAGCAAACAAGAAGTAGAGTCCAGATCATCTAAGGCTGGCATACAGGGAACCAAGCCAAAAGTCAATGTGTAAATTGGTTAATTCATTCAAGGAGGACTCATCAATTACAGCTACATACAGCTCAGGGAGCACTCACTTTTATCTTTAAAAGTCATACTTAAGAATTAATTTCAGTGTAGTGGTGAATATCTTCCCTATAAGGGATTTAGACCCTGAATTAAATGTTAAACAACAAACCAGTCACACAATTTAGAGATAAAACTCTCATGTAAGTTACTTGTCCACATTGTAATCAGGTTATTTGACTTTTGTTGTTGAGTTTTGGGAACTCTTTATATATTCCAGATATTAACACCGTCAGCTATTTAAAGCAAACTCAAGAAGCAGAAAGTAGAATGGTACTTACCAGGGGAAAGAGAGGAGGAGGAGGAGAAGGGAAGTTGTGCAGTAGATGGATAGTTTGTTTTACCAGATGAAAAAGTTCTAGAGCTTTCTTTTACAACAACATGAATATTGTAATGCTACTGAACTGTACACTTAAAATGGTTAAAATGGTAAATTTTGTGTGTTTTTAACCATGGTTTTAAAAAATGTACAAAAATAAAACTCTCGACAGAAAAATAATTCAGGCTCTGTTTCCAAGAAACCAGAATCAGGCAGGCAAGTCTTATAATAGTGTTTCTTCACTGAACCAAAGTTTGTTACCAACAGATATGTTATTCCCAAATCATTAGCAATAAGACCACTGAAAATGCAAAAGGCAGACATTTGGATTTGAATAACAACAAAATTCTATTGTAGTAATGAGGTAGGTTTCCTCTTATGCTTTTTAAAAGTTTAGGTTTTCTTTATTAATTCATAGAAACTGCTTGAATGCAAAAATAAGTAATCAAAGGTTCACTTAATTTTATTTGCCCTAGTTTGGTCAAATTGTAGCTAGCATGAGGCTTGGAAGTAATTTTTAAAATCTCAATTAGCTGGATGTTCTTTAATGATCAAAAATGTATCCTAGCTTTGGTCTTCACCGATTCCTTGACACAATGTTCAGCTTGTGGGATTCTGAAAGGCATGACCTGAGAGGTCTGCTAATGTCAAATATAAAAGCCCTTTTGGGGAGTTCCCTTAACTTCCACAAACCTTCTGCTGAACCCACCCCCAGCATTAGCCTGTGCTTACAATAGGCACTTTGCTTATCTAGTATAACCTTTGGATACAGACAAACACACCTCCTGTAAGTAAAGCTAAAGAAATTCTAAGACTTCAGAATCAGTGTTTGAGATAACCAACTAACCTATTGACTTGTCTTTCAGGACTGCGTTTCTGGAAAACCTGGGAAGGAATGTGAGACAGTGCAGGGGAGAAGAGCAGAAGGGGAACCAGGAAAGCCACTGAAGGCAAGCTCTTCCTTGACAGGCAAAGAGGTGGCACTTTTAGCGATGGGACGGACCCCGGGCGGGGGAACCGAGGACCCGTCACCGGCGGCCGACAAAGGCCGCGCAAAAGCAACGCAGGGCGGGCGGCGGGCGGCGCGGGAGATGAAAAGCGGGAGGCGGAGCTGCGGGGCGGGCGGGGGCGCGGTAGGCGGCGGGCGCGGAGGCGGCGCTGCAGCCCCAGCCCGGCCGGACCGCGGAGGCCAGGCGCCCGGCTCTGCGCTGCCCCTACTCCCGGCGCCGCGCTCCGCTCCCGGCCACCTAACGGCCCGTGGCCGGCAGGCGTCCACGAGTTTGCCCCGGAGCGCGGGGAAGTTTTCTGCCCGAGCTCCGCTCCTGCAAAAGCAGTACCTGCCGGCGCCGGGCGGCTCCCCTGGACTCCCCGCGAGGTAACCGCGCTGGGGCTGGGGGCTGGGGGACCCGAGGGCCAAGGCTGCAGGGCGCCGCCTCGCACCCGCGGTGGAGCGGGCTCTGGGTGGGCGGGAAGTGCATCAGCACCTTTGCAGGTACTTCACCGCCGAGGGATGAAGGAGGCATGTCACCTTTCCTTTCTCTCCCCGCGCCAATGTCTCAACCCACTTGCACCCACTTTATTAGCTGGGTAGGGGTGGTGGTGGCGGGAGATGAAGTGGGGTCCGAAGACTTGGAGAGGGGCTGATGGGGGAGGAACTTGTTAGCCACCTGTTCTGGAGTCCTGGGTCCCTGTCGGGCACCCTAATCTCCAGGACTCTTGCTGCTAGCCCCCACGTGGGGCTTGTAGAGGTTCCAAAGGGGACGTCAATTAAGCACTGTCTTGAGTTTCCGATGCCGGTTGACCGGGTCCTCCAGAGTGTTTGGCAGAAAGTGGAGCATCTCCGCGGTGGTGTCTCCTTTGCGTCAATCCCAAACTCCGCGCGACCTTGCTGATGCTGCGGGCGAGGTGGGAGGGAAGTTGAGAGGACACGGAGCTCAGGTTCCATCGTGGCCTCAGCAGAGGGGTTGAAAGGGGCGCTATGAGGTGGGCTCGTGGAGCGGGTCAGAGAGAGAGAGAGAGAGAGGATGAATTGCTTGGTGGTTTTGTCACTTGCTGCTGCTGTTACTTTCTCACGGTTACCCGCTCCCTTCTGCCCCGTTTGAACATCCTGTCTATCAGCATGTTTCTGTTGGAAGGCTAAAAGGTGTTACGTTTGATGCCTGTCAGGAGTTATTTCCAACTAAGTTCACAGGTGCTAAGTCTAGAGCTGCCGCCCCTCTTCCCTCCCCTCCCCGCAGGTCCGCCCCCGACTCCCTCCCACATGCAAACTGTGCCTGAATAATTCCCAGGATTTTGGAAGGAATGGCATGTAAATAATATGGAGTGTGTTTGTGTGACTCCCCCGCCCCATTGTGCTATCAGATCCAAATCAAGACATTGCGGATGTCTAACAGGACTCCTTTTAGGCAGGTCCCCCCCCCCCCCTTTTAGAATATGGTTAACAAATGCTTATTTTTCTTCTCTTTCACTCCAAACTTTAATCTATCTCTATGCATTTTTTTTTTCCTTTTCTATTACTATACCTCTTGGTTTAAAAGACGTGGACTTTTGGACTCACACAAATGCACCAAAATATACTGTGACCATATTTAATATTTATCTGTCTCCCTGATTGAGTGGCCTGCCACCTGCCAATTCCAGTACATAATTGTAACACCATATGCCAGTCTACCAAATTGAGGAGACGAAAAATGTTATTGTTTTCTATGGGCAAAAGTAGCCTGACTACCAAATTTTATTATTGCTGAAAGTGTTTTTAAGAGCTTCAGTCAAAGTGAATCAGATTAACAATAAAATTGGAATTCTATCTGATACATTCAAACAAAATAAAGTACCTGGGCACTGATAATTGACTGGTAATTAAGGGAGAATTAAAATCTTCTCATCACATGGAAAACATTTTGAGTGAATACTAAATAAGAAATAGCACACATTGAATGCCTTGAGAAAACAAGGATTTTCTTATTTCATGTAGTTTTTATTTCCTTTGTTATAGTAACGTCCTCCAGAAAATGAGCACCTTGCATATAGATGTTGGTATGTACTAACTAAACACCATATTTTGTAATACAGAGGCTTGGTGACAGTCCAAATGCATAAATGTTTTAAATCATTACCAACCATCTGTTCTCTCCCACTCACTTAAAGTGCAATATTTTATTTTCACAGGTATCACTACATACATACTCATTTCATACATTTGCATGAACATCCTGAAGCCTCACCTGGTGGTATGTGATGTTGATCTGAGTTTGGCAAGTGTTGTGTTTAGCATATAAGCTCCTCTTATAAGCCTTTCTTCTTTTATTTTCAGCCAAAGAAGAAATCAAAAAAGTTTTAGAGCATTTTTGCCAAGGCTGAAATATACTCCAGAGAAATCTGCTCACCAACCACCACCTTTTGGTTAGCAAGAGAAGCTGAAAATTAGTGCAGATCTAGGCTCCTCCTCATGACATTCTTTCCCTTCCTCCATGGTCACAAGCATAGCATTTGATGTTCGAAAGCAGTGGATTAAAACCCTTAACTTCAGAAAGTTAGTGCACTTTCCACATGAGCATAACACCTTCCAGGGAAAAATTTTACAAAATGAGAAACTAACTTAATGTTCCAGTCTACATATTAATATACCTAAGAAATACAAATTATTCCCCACACTCCTATTTGCACGTATGGATAGCATGGGATATTATATATATGGATGAAATGTTTATCTAGAAAGTATTCTTTATGTCTGTGTTTGTGAGTCTGGATGAGTTAGTATGTAATAAGCCACTGTTCATGTCATCATTAAAGAGACCTTTGAGGTTTTGGGTGCCCCCCCAACCAAGAATAATTCCCCATTCGGTGCTGTTTGTTATAACTAGTACTGCAATGTTAGTGTTTTATAGCCTCAAATTAATTTGCATAATAAATGTGTGTTGTTTGTTCAGTGCAGCCAGAACCTTAGGACTAATCTTTTAACTCAACTCTGGGCACAGTGTCCCAAAGTTAATGGTGAGCTTGCTAATACTTTGCAAATAACTGATATGTACTTGAGGAACATTAAAAACCAAGGACAACACAGGACTTTGCAATACACTGTTTCTGCCTTGAAAATATAAACATTATCTAACTTAGAACCAGTATAACATTAAAAAGAATGAATCCAAACTATAGATAATGTTGAAAGTAAAGTTGCCTTTAAAACTGTGGTCTAATTTAAACCTTTGGTTCTTAGATAAAAATATGCTACATCTTATTTTTCTGTATACTAAAAATGAATTAGTAAGGGGAAACAGTTTCACCGTATGTAGCAAGCACTCTAAATTATTCATGTTAATGAAAGAAATAGAGGCAAAGATAATCTAAAATCATGGTTATTTAAAAAGTCATTTGTGTTTGTCTTTGGAATGTATTACATGTTTGATTTGAAAAAAGATTTTCATCGTTATTGTGGGCAAATTGCCTTTCTAATTATTTTGTTTTGTTTAGGTTAATTTTTAAATGAGCTAACATACCTCAAACACCAAAACTCATTTCTGAGGAGGTGGGGCAGATGGGCAATTTGCCCAGAAAAATTAGCTGGGTTGCAGGAAAAAGAAAACCTGGTAGGAAGACCTTCAAGTAGATATATAGAATTCACAGAAAGATAATCAGGAGTTTATTGTGTATCTATTTAATGGATGTGTGTGAAGAATTACACAGGTTTCTTGAAAATATAAAGGTTCTTTTTTTAGTCAAAATTTGAGAACTTCAATCCCACTTCCCATGTAGCAGAGGTTATCAACATTTTAAGAAATTGTTTTAAAACCAAATAGGAACATACTAATTTTCATATAAATTTTTATACTTATTTTGATATGAAATATTTGAAAACCAAAAGGAACATACTAATTTAAACATCTTACTACAGAGTTTTGGAGGTTTTTTCCTGAAGCATACATCTGTGTATGGTGTTAAGTGACATCCCTAAGCCTTATCATGCACTTTCTAAAAGCAGCAGCAGTAAGAAGCCATCTGAATAAGGGGTTTGGTCCATTTGATCTCTGTACCTGTGCTTCAAATCAAAAACACATTTCATCAAAGGGAAGCTCTCAAGCATCTATTGTTACCGTGGACCTGGTTAGATAAAATAGTTGAAATTCAGCAAGACTGCCAATTTAACAGATTTCTATTGTGTTTTTCAAAAGCTCTAGGGCAAAATCGGTTGTGGATGAAATAGTTACTTGAACAAGAAGCTGATTCACACCACAGCAGTTGCAGTTAAACACCTTATTTGTAATCAGCATTTAGCAGTATATGGATTGTGGTGACTTGTTGGTTCCATGGTCTCAGAATTTGGGAAACTTTTGTGTCGAAGGTTAGACCTGCCAAAATATATCATTGGAAAAACAGTTAAGATCATTTTTTATTTCAAGAATCATATCCAAACTCTAACTTTCATAGAATTAAAGAGAATGGTAATAGAAAAGCAGATGGATCCCTCAGAATGAAGACTGTTCTCATTATCAGTGTTCTTATTGCTTAAAGGGTAAGGATACCTTTTTTTTCTTTTCAGGGAACATTTTCATTTTTTATAAGGCATGACATTTTTATAGATTGGACGGGACTGAATATTTTAAAACAAGTATTGTGATTGGAAACATAAAATTTGAGACCCACAGGTTATATTTTATAGACCTTTATTAAGTGAATTGGTTTCTTCTGATCACTACCTCAGTATTAGAATCAAAATTAAGCTTTTTTTTTTTGTTACAGAACTAAGAAGGACCTTAAAAGTAATTTATTCCAATGAGCTGTTTTACAGTTAAGGAAACAATGAGGGCCCACAGTGATCATGATGAACTGCTAAAGGTCACACTGGTAGTTAGAGGCACAAACTAGAAATTTCATGGACTCACTCTGACCCAGCTACCCTGTAGTAAATTGAGTAGTCAGATATAGAGTTAACCCTTGCTGGCCATCACAGTATCAACTAGTACACAGTAGTCATGATGTACAATGGTACAGAGGTAATTGCAGATGGCTGAGGTTTGCTGTCTTCTGTCATACACTGAATAGTCACTGGGATATGGACTGTGGTCCTCAACCCTCAGAAGTTCTGTCTTGTTGTTGTTGTTGTTGTTATTATTATTATTATTATTATTTGATACCAGGGATTGAACTCAGGGACACTCAACCACTGAGCCACATCCCCAGTCCCCTTTTTTTTGTATTTTATTAGAGACAGGGTCTCACTGAGTTGCTTAGTGCCTCACTGTTGCTGAGGCTGGCTTTAAACTCACAATCTTCCTGCCTCAGCCTCCTGAGTGTCTGGGATTACAGGCGTGCACCACTGCACCAGCTTTTCCTCTGTTTTAATAACAAATATTTTGTGCTGCCTTCTTTAATTTCTTC